ATACCAATATAAGGGCTGCGCAATGGCCACACCAAAATCAGTTTTTAAAGCAGAATGTTGTTGTGTTGTGGTACTGACCTTCGACTGCAAGATATTCTTAGTTAAAACTTCCAACTCCGCGTCAGCCACTTTGCTTCTTGTCTCGTCTGCACGAGATAACATCAGCTCCAGGCGGGAAAGGCAGCTCCAGGCGGGCAAAGCTGTGACGTACGAGACATGACTTCCAAATATGGGAGCTCCAGGGGGACAAAGCTGTGACGTACTAGACTTGTGACTTCCAAATATGGAAGCGCCCCAGGCAAAATTTTGAAGAAGAATGCCCACGAATTGACGGTGTTCGCTAGAGCCTGGTATTGCTGATATGGGTTATATATGAAATCCAGAACGAGCTGCCAATACCGGAATCTAGAACCTAGGGTACTCAAGGTACGTTTCCGTTTCAATCTGTACACATGCATTAGAACCTACACTAAATCCATGGTGTAAAAAGAAATGAAAACTTCTTCTTTTTTTTACATTTTGACAACTTTAACCTGGCATTCTGTAGTATAAGCAGTAGCAGCTTTTAGTGGCAGATTCTGAAATTGGCTTCGGCTACAGGTTTGAGGTGTACGAGACTACTGTCTGATAGTTGAATCTCAGAGAAGAGAATGCTTAAGGAACTTTGGTGGGAATAAAAAGTTAAGAGGCGACCATATATCGTGTTAACAACTTAAAATACGACATTAGTAAAATTCGATTAATTTATTCAATCATTTCAAGTATTTCACCTACTTTTGAAGTTGCTATTATTTCATAGACTAAACAAAATATGTCTTTACTATTGCAAATTTTCAAACACAATACAAGAAGATTTAATGCAATCAAACCACATAACATTAGGCTTTTTAAGATAGCGCTGCTTGTGACACCTCATTGTTATCAAGCACAACCCTTCAGTGTCACAGCTACCACATTGTGCCACATTTTTTTACGTTAAAATTAAAAAAAAAACCAGTAGAACGCATGCGACGACGAAACGTATATTGGCAATCATATCGCATCTTTCCAAGTTAATGCCTTTCGCAAAGTATCTGCATAACACCATAGTGTATATAATGCTATACTCGTAGCTTATCCTTCTGTTTTTCTGTCTTATTTTCAAGGTTACATTTCAACAAATATGTGCGCATGCGTACAGAACCCAGTGTCTAATTGTAGGGGTCCATGTTCCTCCCTACCCAGGTTCTTCTAATATTTCACTTGTCACTGAAGCATGGGAGAGGGAATATAACCACAAACTCACATCTTCAGTTCCAACTTGAAAGACCTTTATTAAGTCCAAGCATTCAGCTGAATGCATTTGCTGAATCTTTCTTAATCTACCGCCACTGACTCATTATGTCAAGGACAGTTACACGTACCATACAAAGCTACCCGTTGTCTCAACCGCTGTGGGAATTTATTATGATCGTATTTTAAAGCTAACAGGAGCGACATGTCGCCGACTTAATGCTTCACACTGCAGACGACTATCTGGGAACATGTATGGAGCTGCTGAAATCATACTGCCTGATCATATATCAGAGGGTACTAAAAAAGCAAGAACAAACCGTTCCCGGAGCCTGGACTGCAGGTAGACATGTACATTACTGAACATTCAGCGCTCAGTTATTTAGAGGTTGCTGATTTTAATAACAATAAAATGCGTTATCCAATCGACCACATTATCGTTTATAACGTAATGACTGCGTTCCTATAAAACCATCGTACAAGCTGGACCGATCAAAATCTGCGGGGCTGCTTACTTCAATGATTTCAGTGTAAACAGTTTAATTGTCGGGCATGTCCCCTTGAGTTAACTATAGGGGGTAATGAGTAGGGGTGCCAGACATTTAAGCAACTTACACTGAATGCAATTAAGAGAGAATCCCCGCAGAGTTAAATTGATCCAACTAGTACAATGGGTTTATGGGAACGCTCCCTATGTCTTAACTTATCAAACAATTTCTGTGAATGGAATGGAATGGACCTTGGGAAGTATTAGGTAACTCGCTGCAAAAGATGCGTACTCTCGACCTTTCAAGTAACAGTTGTTCAAAAATCAGTGAGTCGTTCTTTTATAATTTTTCTACAACTCAGATTTTACACCTGCATAATAAAAAACTAAAATATTTTGACACTATATAGCGAGTGGTTCAATGTTATTGGAAAAGTCTTGATGCAGAATGGCTGTCTTTAGTCCTTTTTGCGCTTGGTAATTTTTATTTATTTTTTTATTCCCCAATAATCTTTGTGTATAATTCGTGTTTATACTTTTAAAAATACAACTTTTTCGTATCTTGCGTTATACAAATTGTTTAAAAGACAGTGGATTAGTACTTTTGCCCTAAACTGATGAATACCCGGTAAAGGAGTTCTGTGAAGTCAGTCTAAATGGTGGAAAATCACAACTTTGTCAATAAATCAGTAAGTTTCGATTTTATAAATATCTCATTGGTAATCTTACTGGTTTCCTTATTTATCTCAAAGGAAGCAGAAGTGAAAGCGACAGTGGTGAGTCAACTTTTCTGGAATCAATCTGCTTTCAATTCCACAGCAATGTTTAACGGCAACGGGGTGGGTCGTGACTATGCACTTTTAAACATATAAACTTTTTCGACTTGTAAAATTAATAATATTGGAATTCAACATGTATCTCCAAAGGAGGAAGCAATAGTATAGTGAGTCAACTTATCTGTTATCAGTCTGCTTTCAATTCCACAGCAATGTTTGCAGACATAGGGGGTGGGCTTTGAATATCCATTTTTAAACATTTAAGCTTGTAAAATGAATAATGTTGGAATTCAAATCGCGCTAGAAGATACGTAATGCACAAGCGAAAACAAAATTGGCTGAGGTGGCGGAGGGGAGAGGGGGGGGGGAGTGTACAAGCAAAAGAAAATTTCTTGCCTCCCTCCGCTCGGTAATTGTAAAAACGTCGCACGATCACAATTTACCAATTTACAAAGGGATGGAAAATTTCTTTAGATCTGTCTAGTTACTTATATATTTTCTTAGAGGTTGGGGACAGGTTTTAACCTTAAAAGAGGGAGAAGGGGATATCTTCAATGCAAAGGAAGGAGACACTTGCCTGCTCTGCTCCCCTGTTTCCCCACCCCCTACGGCAATGTGTTGTACTGCATTCAAGCGTACTCTCCTACTTAATTTGTTTAAATGAGCGGTCCCCACCTAAATATATCTCTAACATTTCAAGTTGGGTGCATTTTTAGATTGGTGGCGTAAAAGTAAAAGACACAAAAGCAACCTGCCTCGGAGGAGATAGTTTTAACTTGAATGGGCACACATGTGAAAATCTACATGTATATGTCCTCAACATTGCTTCGTGTGAGTTCGTTTGTGCTGCTACATTTCGAGGGCAATTTGAAGACAATTTAAAAAAGACCCAAATATAGGGAAGCCTGATTTAGGGCTAGGGTCAGACGTTATGTTTGCGTGTATAATATCTTGGCCCTAAACTTATGCTGTCACATATTATTCTTGTACTAGTACTACCAAAAAAAAAGCAATGAGGGAAATGACTGGAAGACTCCACTATAGTTGTTATTCGATACTTCACGTTTGATGATTGGCAGTTTCTATCCAAGAAACGAGGAAGTAGTAGCGGTACCGAAAAACCCCCCATTGAATCGTTATTGATTTATTTTCGGCGTTAAAGCCTTCCCCCAGATGAAAAATATTTTGAATAGGTTTATACGAGTTCATCTTTCCTAATAGCTTTCTTTTTCCTGGTCTCTTCACGTCAGATACTCTCTATTTATGCTACGTCCATCGCATTTCAGTGGCAAATTAAAGTTGCTACAGGTATTAAGGCCTCAATAAACGGTGTTCTTCTGGTTTTTTATGTCATAACTAACGCGATACAATGAAACTCGATTTTAGACAACTTACATAATTGTAAATTATTCTTTATTGGGCTTTCCTTTTAGCGCTAGGCTATTTTTAAAAATCGTGATCAATCTTTGTCTATAATTTTCGTTTAAACTTTTAAAAAATATAACTTCGTTTGCTGGATTTTCTTTAAAAAACGTTTGTCGCAATCCTCTCTTTGCGAAACAGCAAACTTCAGAAATTGGAAGGTAGGTCATTTCTACATAAACATGTATATGTGATATACTGTGGAAAGAATTCACAATGAGTTTCGATACAATACGTATCTCTTTGGTTAGCTAACTAGTTTCTTTATTTATCTAAAAGTGAAGCAGAAGAGGAAGCAAAAGCGAAAGCAATAATAATGAGACAACTTATCTGTTATCAGTATGTTTTCGATTCCACAGCAATGTTTGCAGACATAAGGGGTGGGCTTTGAATATCCATCTTTAAACATTTAAACTTTGTCGACTTATAAAATTAATAAATTAATTGAAATTCAAATCACGCTGGGAGATATCTAATGCACAAAATTTGGCTGGGGTGAGGTCGGGTCGGGGGAGGGGGATACAAGGAAAAGAAAATGTTTTGCCTCGTTCTGCTCGTTGGTTGTAAAACAGTGTACAATCACGATTCACCATGCAGGGTATATGAATGAAAACCTTCTTTTGATTAGTCTAATTATTTTTTTCATTTTCTTATTTAAGGGAGGGGAAGGCAAGGAAAAGGGGAAAGGGGTTATCTCCAGTGCAAAGGGGGTAAGGCACGTGTCTGGTGTGCTCCCCTGCGCCCATGCCCCCAACAGTAATGTGCATTCATACGGTTGGTCCTGGTCATTTTTTATTGAGTACCTAATTATATATATTTATCATTTGACATATCTAGTAGGGTACATTTTTAGATTGGTGATGTAGAAAAGACCTAAATGATTTCCATTCAAAGCTATTGATCGCCTTAATCGGCAGGCACTGAATTGAAAACATAGTCAAGCTCGAATATCCTGTTGTCAGGCGAGGAATGAAAAAAAAAAGAACTGCGCAATTCCATTATAATATTCTTTTATAATAACCAGGAAGTATGGGGTTTTGGAAAGAGAGAAGTCGCTGGTATAAAAGAGAATTGCTTTCCAAAAGTAAAGTAGTTTCTGTCCAACTCGACAGCACTGAGCATGTTGTGTAAAGATTTGATTCTGCTGGTTCTCATCACTGCGCCACTCGGTTGGCGAGTATCTCACAGTCATCGTCATTGTACGATCTATGACGACTTACTGCGCCGTGAAGTCCTCTACGACTGCTCGGGTAGGAAGCTTCACGGCGTTCCAGTGGACATCCCGGCCAATGTCACGGCGATCGATTTATCCTACAATCGAATCACAAGGATAACGCCGGGTAATTTTGGTCGTCTTCGTAATCTCAGTCGTTTAGACCTGTCGGACAATCGCATAGGAAAACTTGAGTTGGGTGCGTTTACAGACGTACCCAAACTACGCATGTTGAATCTTCGATCTAACTACTTAAGAATGGATTACGAGTCACTTCCACGAGGCGTTTTTAAAAACCTATCACAATTACAATGGTTAGACTTAAAAAACAACACCAACCGTTACCCAAAACCGAAAGAAAACTACCCTGACGAGACCCTCAAAGACCTGACGGGTTTAACAGAATTATATGTGGACGGACTAAATATGGAGAATTCTGTTCTTGGCCCAGGGTTCGCTTCTCTAAAAACATTGAGTTTGTTGGATTTTTCTGGAGATAATGGACGCTGCAACCTAAAGAAATTAAGCAAAAATGTATTTTACAATTTACGTAATTCACAGTTGGAGTATCTCGACCTGGCGTATTGTGAACTGTATAAGATTGATAATTTTACTTTCTCTTTTCTTCAAACAATCAAGACTCTTGATATTTCAGGTAACAAATATCTTGGATTAAATAGACTGGGGGGAGTTTTTTATGGATTACAAAATTCATCTTTGGAGCGTCTAATATTAAATGCAACAACGTCCCGGGAAAGTAGGACGTACATGTTGTACAGTAGTCGCGTATTCCATTATCTCCAGAACATTACAACATTAAAACATTTAACTCTGGACAGTAACTCCATATCGGATCTTGAATCAAACACGCATGTGTACTTGGAACATTTAGAAACTTTATCTCTTTCTGACAACATTTTTCTGAACGCAATCATGCCAGCGTTTGACTTGAGCCATTTGCAACATCTAAAGTACCTCAACTGGAGCTGGACATTTAGATCTAAACCTGAGGTACAGCTTAAACAATTAGAACGTGGAGAGTTCACGTTTACTATTATTTCCGCCCCCAATTTAGAGGTAGCTGACTTAAATAACAACGACTTGCAATATCCGCTCAACCACATCATTGTTCATAACGCTACGTCTCTCAGGTTTCTTAACTTATCAAACAATAATTTCTATGAATGGAATGGACCATGGGAAGTATTAGATAACTCGTTTCGAAAGATGCATACTCTAGACCTCTCAGGTAATAACTGTAGAAAAATCAGTGAGACGTTCTTATATAATTTTTCTACAACCCATGTTTTACATCTACAGAATAATAGGCTGGGGTATTCTGACACTATAGCAAATGGTTCACACACAAGTCCTTTTGGGTGGCTTGTCAATTTGACGTATGTGGATATATCTTCCAACGAAATGGAAAAGTTATCCCCAAATTTGTTCAACAATAATACCAAGCTACAGACAATGATGTTGAGAAACAATTATCTTACTTCGGATGGATTAAACCTTGACTTAAAAAACATATCTTTCTTGGATCTCGCCTACAATAAACTGGGTTCTCTGAATGCCAAAATGAGGTCTGTATTAGACGACGTCCAAACACGAGAAAAGTTGGTCAATGTGGTCGTAAATTTGGCGGGAAATCCGTTGCAGTGCACATGTGAAACTGAACAATTTTTCGTCTGGATGCAAAAAACAAAAGTACAATTTGTCGGTCAAGATGACTATCAATGCACCCTAAAAAATGGAAGCATCGTTAGTATAAAACAACTTTCTGCAATCGTTGGACACCTCAAAGTCACGTGCGCTTCTAAATTTACTTTGACACTCGTGTCTGTTGTTGTTTCACTTGTTATCATTACTGTTGTCGCGTCTGCGGTGTATTACAGATTCAGATGGGAAATTAAGTATTTCTTTTATAAATTACGAATAAGACGCAAAGAATACGAAGAAGTTCATGGAGATGATAACTATCAATATGACGCTTTCGTGGCATTTAGCAAGGAAGACTACAAGTGGGTGTACAGACAACTGCGACCCAATCTAGAAGACGCAGAAGCCGAGCAAGACCGACTCCGTTTATGTCTTCATCATCGTGACTTCCTACCTGGTGAAGACATCGAGGAAAACATTATCCAATCTATTTCACAAAGCAGAAAAACAGTTTTGGTGATAAGCCGAAATTTCGTGCGCAGCAACTGGTGCTACTTCGAAATGAAAATGGCGCGCATGCGATTGTTTGAAGAGGGAAAAGACGTCCTTGTTCTGATTTTGTTGGAGGACATTCCATTCCGTGAAATGAATGACACCCTGTTTCATTTGTTTAAATCAAAAAGTTATTTGGAGTGGCCTGACAACCAAAGAGATCAAGACGTTTTTTGGAAAAAGATAAGAATGGTACTGAAAAGAAATAATGACGGGGTTTAAATCAGAACAATTGTTTCTAAAATATTGCGCTTATTCAACCTTTTAATGATGCATGCGTTGTTTATTGGAAAGATCTTCCTGCCTTCAAACACGACTTCTTATTTACTTTTTAATAATGAAACAGGTGGTATTTGCACTGATTCCAATTTTGTAATTCAGATCAGTAATGATTACAATGTACTATCAGAGGTATGTTGGGTAAGGACGTCTTTTTTTTTCAAAAATTTTCGCTCGTCAAAAATCTGCACTCAATTAGTTAGAAGAATATTTATGCATAAATTTGGAAACATCTCACTGTGATCCTGAGAGGGGATACTGCAATGCACTCTAGAAATAAGTAATATAATCTTTTTTAGTATAGTGAAGTGTAGTTGAGTTGAGTTTAGTATTATATTGTATAGTTATACTTATTCCAGCACAACTTGATTGAAGACAACTACGCACTTTAAATATATAATTGCAAAATACTTTATCTATGAACTATTCTCTTTACGCTAGGATATTTTTTGAAATTCCTGATTAAACTTTGTGTATAATTTTCGTTTGTTTATATATATTTTAAATATAACTTAGATATAACTTTTTGCGTTATACATATTGTTTAAGCAGCAGTGAAGGTGGTCTGCCCTTTATGCCTAAACTCAACTGATTAATTAATTATTATTGTGAAGTAAGTCTAAGACTGGGTTCCCATGCCTAGATCGATCCATCTGGATCGGTCTAACTCCCTGGGGAATCTCACTAAATTGCTATCAACTTGAAGGCTTAAAGGGATAATAACTCTTCGTTTCGGCCAAAAAATGAGCACATACGTTGTATAAATTACACAGCTCACTCTATTCATTGAGGTTGTCTACTAATGGAATTATCGTGGGATAATTATTGATGCGTTTGTCATCTAACACTAGGACTCAATACTGAGTCACAGACTGGCTTGATATTTCTGATAATACAGTGTTACTTTTGGGGGTTATGTTAAAGGGATAATAACTCTTCGTTTCGGCCAAAAAATGAATTTTCCTGGAGTAAACAACAATTTTCCCATACTTACCAATGGTTAATGAATCCATTTTTACATTCAAAGTTAGTCCCTGTTTTTTTTTCTAAAAAGTTTGGTTTTTTGTTAAAATCTCCTAAGAGATTATAACAGAATATAGCCATCAATGGAGGTTACGTGGTCTAAAGACAAGCTCAGATATTAGAATAATAGCTTTAACTGCCGTTTTTGTGGTAAAAGAGAATATATTATATTTCTATGAGTTATTCACAATGTTTTTATTGTGAAATATAGATCTCATACGAAGAGTTATTATCCCTTTAAATGTCTGTCACCCCTACTGAATCATCTAGGGTGTAAAGATAATTACCCCCTAACAGCTTTACTAGGCTTGACCGATATTTAAGCGGGATAAGCTGATAGCAATTTAGTAAGACTCCCCAGGGAGATAGATCGATCCAAATATCTGTGGGAATGGTCCTTAAAAGGCGAAAAGTTTCCACTGTTATCTTTTTAATCAGAAAGAGTTTCGATTATATACATAAATAGCAGTAATCACGCTGTAAAAGGAGAATCAACAACCCCAGGGACGGCCACACCCAATGCCAAAAAAGCCCAGAAGGACCCATACACATCCCCAAGACAGGTTTTTCATTCGCCATAGCCTTACGTTCCTAACATTAATACAGGTAGATAGCAGAATTTACAATGTCAGATTACATTCATTCACCCCCAGGACCACACCCCAAGTCAAAAAAAAATCCGAAGTACCCTTCCACATCCCAAGTGATACTGTAGACACGTCTCATGTTCTTAACTCAAATGGCTGATACAATGAATAGATAGCAAAAACTACGATGTAAAAATTGGAATCGATCACCCCCAAGGAGAAGAATGGGACAATATCCCACATAACAGAATTGTTACCCATGTTGAAGGCTTGTCGCACCGTCTACAGCTAGGAGATAATTGCAGTACGCGGTAGACGCACACGCTGTTAGGCACGTGATCTTTAACGAGCACACCCTAATGCTAATTGTGTGTGAATTTGGTGACATTTGATGGCGTCTTTTCAATTTTATAGACATCTGTTTACATCTGTAGAAGTCACAGTGAAACAGTCGATTTGAGGGGGTACTAAATGGTATAAAATATATACATTTTCACCTATTTGGTATTTTTTAAACCATTAATCATGTTAGACACGGTATCCGTAATAAAAAGCACTATATCTAACAATTTACAGCTGTAAGGTGATCATTTGTAAATAAAGGTACATGGAAATGGGGGTGGGACAACCTTTTTGACCAATGTTGTATATTACATGTATGTATAACACAAGTAGTTTAGAGGTCCTGTAAAATTTACTGCAACATTTTAGTGCGCAATAAATTATCATTATAATTATCGTAGTAGGCAACCCCGTTCCCATTCCAATTTTACTTCTACAGTACTTTACACCATTTCAGTGACTAAGAAAAAACCCTGGTTACAAAATGCGTTCCAGTTCCAAAATGCGTTTTCACGATTTTCTTAAGTTGCAAAGTAAAATGCAGCTCTTCACTTTTAAAAGCATATGCTACCTACTTCCGGTGTAACATGAAAATCTGACTCCCCCAGTTTAAATTTCATAATGAAAATCTGACTCCCCCCATGAAATTTTGACTCCCCCTCACAAACCTTTTTAAGCTCATATTCTATTTGAATATATAACTTTTATCTTGTAGTATGCATAATAGAGGATTCATTGGCACTTTCTGAAATTTTTCATGAGGAAATAAGAAAATTAAAAATGTTTTTTTTCACCAAGTGATTCCTTTGAAAAGGCTATGGGAGTCCAAATCCTACAAGTAGTAAGATGAATACTTGTTTCAAAAATTATCAAGTTTCACCAAAATTTTCACCACCAAACTTTCAAATAATAACAAAATATACATCACAATGCAAACCATGTGAAAAACAATGGTATGGTGGCTTAATATAAAATAATGCCTTTTCTTCATGAGAGCCCAAATCCCATGGGTATGAATATAATGATTTTTCATGATTTTTTTTTTCATTTTTTGCACCCAATATTTTACCACCAAACTTTCAAATATTTCCAATATATTCATCATAAAGTATACTAAAGGGACAAATGTTGAAATGATCACCATGCAAATATCAAATAAAAAGCTTTTTCATAGGGGAGTCATTGGGTGGTAAAATATAAATTTTTTATTTTCTTAATTTCTCATTAAAATTTTCACCTGCAAACTAGTAACAAAAAGTGCAAATGTATCCTCCATTATGCATACTACTATATAAAAGTCATATACTCCAATAAAATAAGATTTATAAAGTTTTGTGGGGGGGAGTCAAAATTTCATGGGGGGAGTCACATTTTCTTTATGAAAATTAGACTGGGGAGTCACATTTTCATAATGAAAATCTGACTGGGGAGTCACATTTTGGGGGAGTCAGATTTTCATGGTACACCTGTTCAAAACTAGTGCAAACAACGATATGTCTGAGCAAACTTCACTGAAACTTACTGCTGCAGACACTTTCAAACGGCGCAAGAACAAAATTTATTAAAAGAACAGGCTGAGATACATGTAGTTACACCTTATCTAAAAAATACATAGACATTCCATTTTTTGCAATTATGGGGAAAAGCTAACACAGTAAAAATATTAAAACAAAGCGTTATGCGGCCTGTTTTCGATATGTTAGAGGACAAAGCCTGCAGTAAAATCGCCTTCGTGCACGATATATTCTTGTGTATAATATCTGTTAGCCTTATTATGGGCTTTGTCGTTTGCATTCGGCTAACTGTATGGGTTTGGCAAGGGACAATTCATGCAAATCACCGTCATATAGGCCTATCGAAAGACTCTAGCTGATACAGTTTGGCGACTCTAAAAAAAAAAAAAAATTACTCGATCAGGGGCCCACAGTGTGATTTTGTATAGTATTTTAGGAGCCTCTGATATCGGAGAGTAGGGTGTTGCCCGCGTGTGTGTAGTGGGAGGGCGGGGTAAGTTATTACCTTTTTCCATGATAGTGCGTATTATATTTTATCCTTTTCTGGTTATTATAAGCTCTTATTTTCATATAATCTCGTTTATACCCGTGAGTTTAACCGCTGTAAATAATGTCCTCTGTTTTCAGAACTCCCTATAAAAAAAGCCCAGTTCATTGTTTTACCCATTTTGTCTTGAGACCGCAGCTGGAATAATTTAATTAATGCTCTCAGCTTTCACATCCAAGTAGGGGAGACACCCCGGGGTAAGTCGCCCCCCCCCCCGTCAATTTATAAAAAAAAAGTAACTACGAGGTAAAAAAAAATTGGACACATACTCTTGTTAAGTGACCGTAGCTTACAATGCTAAGGAAATGTCGGACGTTAAAAAGTTTTACTTAATCGGTGAGTCGAAATAAACAATTTTTGCTCCTAAAAGTAATTTTGTTTAAGAGATTTAGAAATCTATTTTCATAGGATTTTGATCGAATATAATATATGTATAGGGCATCAAACTGAAGCTCATTGTTTCAAGTTTCACAGAGATGTATCATCGTTGCTCATTCTAGTACCATAAATGGCTGCCATCCTTTAAAATAAAAAATGTGGTAGTTGGCTCCCTTGACTCGGGACAAGTTGGACCCTCATATTACCCACATCCTTTGCGCGCAACAGAGCTAGAGACCATTGTTGAAACAAACTCAATGGTTTGTTAAATAATTACCAGTTTAAAACTGAATTTGTTACTTTCTTTTAAAACGAAATTGTATTATATGTTTTCATTCATTAAATACCTGCATTATACCATTATTAATTCATTTTAAATTAAAACAAAACAACATTTATTGATTAATATTTTGGTTCTTGCAACACATACAACGTGACGTACGGAAACCTCAATAAATCTGCCTCATTTGAACTATTTATTCATCAAAGACTCTCAAAAATCAATTTAATAAATTTAATGTTTAATTAAATGTTTAAAAATGTATTTCAAGGCGATTACATGGGATACTTACTTCATTTTCGTATAGAGTGCCAACTTGCATATCTAGGGAACACGTTTGATCATGTTACGTGCACCGTACCGACATCGCATGGCAAATGTAATCTAGACGGAGATAGGGGAGACCGGGGCTAGTTGGACCCCGGGGTAAGTTGGCCCCCCGTCAATTTATAAAAAAGTAACTACGAGGTAAAAAGATTGGCCATATACTTTCGTAAAGTGACCTTAGCCTACAATGCTAAGGAAGTGTCGGACGTCAAAAAGTTTTACTTAAGCGGTGAGTCGAAATAAACGATTTTTGCACCTAAAAGTAATTGTTTGTAAGAGATTTAAAAATCTATTTTCATAGGTTTTTGATCGAATATAATATATGTTTAGGGCATCAAACTGAAGCTCATCGTTTCAAGTTTCACAGAGATGTATCATCGTTGCTCATTCTAGTACCATAAAAGGCTGCCATCCTTTAAAATAAATAATGTGCACACGGGGTTAGTTGGCCCCATTGACTCGGGGCAAGTTGGACCCTCATATTACCCACAAACCTTTGCGTGCAACGCTGTTTGAAATAAACAAGTTGGTGAAATTGACAAAGCTTGCCGGTGTTTACCGTCTGATTGATTTTATTTAATTTGCTCTCTGGTGTCTTTTCAAAAATTTATATTAGAAATGTTCTGTTGCTTGTATGTATTAAAAAGTAAATCCATTGGAATTTCCTTAGAAAAACATTTATTTTGCCTTAATTCATTGTAAGGGGATTCCCTTTGTATTTATAGTGTTATATGTGGCCCCAAGGGGATTTTCCACCCCTCCCTAGCTAGAGACCATTGTTGAAACAAACTCAATGGTTTAAAACTGAATTTGTTACTTTCTTTTAAAACGAAAATTTATTATTCGTTTTCATTCATTAAAACCCTGCTTTATACCATTATTAATTTATTCTTAATTAAAACAAAACAAATTTTATTGATAGATATTTTGGTTCTTGCAACACATACCCCCCCCCCACACAACGTGACGTAAGGAAACCTGACTAAAACTGCCTCATTTGAACTATTTATTCATCAAAGACTCTCAGAAACCAATTTAATAAGTTAAAAATGAATAAAAATGTATTTCAAGGCGTTTACATGGGATATATACTTCATTTTCGTATAGGTGGGCCAACTTGCCCCGACCCTGGGGCCAACTTGCCCCGTGGCGGGGCAAGTTGGCCCCCCTGACGTCAACTGCGTTTTTTGTCAAATTGTGAGCCATCTGGCATTATATTTGAAAAATAATGACGTTGCATACGTAGCCTAGTTCAAAGGGCTTACTTTGAAACCGGTTTTGTTACTCTAACTCATTCCAAATTGGCTCTACAAGGCCAAAAGTGTCGAACTGGGCCAACTAGCCCCGGTCTCCCCTATGTGTCCGAGCCCCACTTTCACCCCCACCCCAGGGGAACGGCAATGTTGTCCTGATTATTTTTGAAATTTTACAGGTCCACCCCCAACATATTTACAGTATACCTTTTTACATTTCAATGACCAAGCCCGCTTTTGATACAAAATCTCGTCCCTACACATGTAATGAATGTTGATAATTAGTATCGTTTTGTTTGTGTTTGTGCACATATTGATATTTGTAAGGCACATGGCATTGATATTGGTCATGGGTTCTAGTCTTACTTCCACCTTTATATTTCCATATTTACTTAAAACCATACTTCCTTTGCTGATAAGAGAATGCACCACAATATAAGAAAAAGGGTTGCTCGTTGAAAACGTAATTTCTGTCAAACTCTACAGCATTCAGCATGTTGTGCAAACTTGTAACTCTGTTAGTTTTCATCACGCTGTCATTGGCCTGGCGGCCGCATCATGATTCCAGCAATTGTTCAATTGAAAATGCCCCACTGCGCCAAGATGTCATTTACAACTGCTCGGGTAGGAAGCTTCACGGCGTTCCAGTCGACTTTCCAGACAATGTCACGGTGATCGATTTATCCTACAATCGAATCACCAGCATAACGCCGGGTAATTTCGCTCATCTGCGTAATCTCAGTCGCCTGTACCTGTCGGACAATCGCATAGGAAAACTTGAGTTGGGTGCATTTGTAGATGTCCCTAATTTACGAGTGTTGAATCTACGATCTAATTACTTACGAATGGATTACGAGTCATTTCCACGAGGCGTTTTTAAAAATCTGTCCCAATTACAATGGTTAGATGTAAAAAACAACACCAACCGTTACCCACAACCGAACGAAAACTATCCTGACGAGACCTTCAAAGACTTGGCGGGTTTAACAGAACTATATCTGGACGGACTTAATATGGAGAATTCTGTTCTTGGCCCAGGATTTGCTTCTCTTAAAAGATTGCGTTTATTGGATTTTTCTGGAGATAACGGACGCTGCAGTCTAAAGAAATTAAGTAAAAATGTATTTTACAATTTACGCAATCTTCAATTGGAGCATCTCGATCTAGCGTTTTGTGAACTGTATAAAATTGATAACTTAACTTTCAGCTTCCTACAAACAATCAAGACTCTTGATATTTCAGGTAACAAATATCTTGGATTAAATAGACTGGGAGGAGTTTTTTATGGATTACAAAATTCATCTTTAGAGCGGCTAATACTGAATGCAACAACGTCTCCAGATGATAGAACGTACAAGCTGTACAGTAGTCGTGTTTTTCATTACCTCCGGAACATTACAACACTAAAACATTTAACTCTCGACACTAATTACATATCAGATCTTGAATTAGACACGCACATGTACGTGGAACATTTAGAAACCCTCTCCCTTTCCGATAACACGTTCCTTAACGCAGTCAAGCCAGCGTTTGACTTGTGCCATTTGCAACATCTTAAGTACCTCAACTGGAGCTGGACATTTAGATCTAAACCTGGGATACTGTTCAAACAGCAATTAAGACGTGGAGAGTTAACGATTAATGTTGCTGCCCCCCCAAAAGTGGAGGTAGCTGATTTTAATAACAACAAATTGCAATGTCCGCTGAACCACATCATTTTGCACAACTCTACATCCATCAGGTTTCTAAACTTATCAAACAATAATTTCTATGAATGGAATGGACCATGGGAAGTATTTGATAGCTCGCTTCGAAAGATGCATACTCTAGACCTCTCGGGTAACGGCTGTAGAAAAATCAGTGAGTCGTTCTTTTATAATTTTTCTACAACTCACATTTTACATTTACAGAATAATAAACTCGGACAATCTGACACTATAGCAAATGGCTCATATTCAAGTCCGTTTCGGTGGCTCGCCAATTTAACGTACTTGGATTTGTCTTCCAACGAAATGGAAAAAGTTTCCCCAACTTTGTTCAACAATAATACCAAGCTACAGACAGTTATATTGAGAAACAATTATCTTACATCGGAAGGATTAAATCTTGACTTGAAAAACATATCCTTCTTGGATCTAGCCTACAATAATCTGGATTCTCTGAATGACAAAATGATGTTTTTATTAGACGACGTCCAATCACGAGAAAATTTGGTAAATGTGGTCGTAAATTTGGCGAGAAATCCGTTGCAGTGCATATGTGAAACTGAACAATTTTTCGTCTGGATGCAAAAAACAAAAGTACAATTTGTCGATCAAGATGACTATCAATGCACCCTAAAAAATGGAAGCATCGTTAGTATAAAACAACTTTCTGCGATCATTGGACACCTCAAAGTCACGTGCGCTTCTAAACTTACTTTGACACTTGTGTCTGTTGCTGTTTCACTCGTAATCGTTACTGTTGTCGCGTCTGCGGTGTATTACAGATTCAGATGGGAAATTAAGTATTTCTTTTATAAATTACGAATAAGACGCAAAGAATACGAAGAAGTTCACGGAGATGATAACTATCAATATGACGCTTTCGTGGCCTTTAGCAAGGAAGACTACAAGTGGGTGTACAGACAACTGCGACCCAATCTAGAAGACGCAGAAGCCGAGCAAGACCGACTCCGTTTATGTCTTCATCATCGTGACTTCCTACCTGGTGAAGACATCGAGGAAAACATTATCCAATCTATCTCACAAAGCAGAAAAACAGTTTTGGTGATAAGCCAAAATTTCGTGCGCAGCAACTGGTGCTACTTCGAAATGAAAATGGCGCGCATGCGATTGTTTGAAGAGGGAAAAGACGTCCTTGTTCTGATTATGTTGGAGGACATTCCATTCCGTGAAATGAATGACACCCTGTTTCATTTGTTTAAATCAAAAAGTTATTTGGAGTGGTCTGACAATCAAAGAGACCAAGAGCTTTTTTGGAAAAAGATAAGAATGGTACTAAAAAGAAATAATGATGGGGTTTAAATCAGAACGATTATTTTTGATATGTTGCGCATATTCAACCATATACGGTTGCGTCGTTTAACGGAAAGATCTTTCTCTGTACAAAATCCGACTCCAGATTTGTTTTAAAGATGAAACAGATGGCGAACTACTGATTGCATTTTCGTAATTTCAACCAATTATTATTATTTTTGTTTGTTTGTTTGTTTGTTTGTTTGTTTGTTTTGGAGAAATTTCTTGCCGGACAGATATGCACGTAGAAGTAGCTAACAGAATATCTTCTAATATTAATTGACAAAATCTGTCTGATAGAATTAGCTAAAATGCACTCTAGAAATATATGATATCACCTTTTGTACCATTGTTGATTGTATGGTAAAATGCCGCGGATAATCAGTGTTTGCTCTGTTTGCTCTTTTATTGTTGTTTATAGTAATGACTCTTCTGTGTACAAAATATTTTAAACATGTTCATATTACAAATAACCCATTTATATAAAGCTCAATCAATAACATTTACTCTAGAATACTAGATTCTGCCGCTGAAGCTTTAATGAATAACTTTACAAAACAGTAAAAAAACTACAATGCTCATGTGTTAAAATGCTTTCTTATTGATTTCAATACTAAATCATAGTATTCAATAACATATTTCAATTTTAGATGAAAAGTCTTGATGAAGAATGGCTCTCATAAGTAATGTAGTATTGTATACTGTAGCTATACTAGCTCCAGCACAAGTAGATTTAGACATCTTAAACTATATAATAGCAAATTACTTTATTTTAGGGGTAGAGTATTTCTACATGTATATGCTTAGGTATACGTAAATGTTAATACACGTATATTACTGGGGAGAAATATCATAATTAAATGAAAGACCGACATGTTTTTAATTAATTAATTTATTTATTTATTTATTTTTGTTTCTTTTTCCTTGTTTATGTCCTTTTAATTTGTCTGTTGGTTTATTTATAATCTGAAGGTGGGTGTTGTTTTAAAGTTGCGCTATTAAATCATTTTGCTGTGAATATATTCTGCGTTTTATACTTAACTAAAGCAATGGGTTAATTATTCCTGATAATAAAAAAGTTAAATGCCGAAAAATATCTACTGCTTCCTTTTTAATCAAACTGAGATAGATTATATACGTATCTTATTGGTTACCCTACTGGATTCTCTTTTATCTAAGAGGAAGCAAAGATGACAGAGATAGTAGTGAGTCAACTTATCTGTTATCAACCTGCTTTCAATTCCACAGCAATGTTAAAGATATACGGGGTGGAATATGAATATCCACTTTTAAACATTTAAAATTTGTCAATTTGAACAATAAGTTATATTGGAATTCAACATCAGGCCAAGAGGTACATAATACTCTTGCGGATCCTGAATTCTGTTAGTGTATGCGTGTGTGTGTGTGTGTGTGTGTGTGTGTGTGTGTGTGTGTGGGAGGGGGGGGAGGGTACAAGTGCGGGAACATCCCCTCTTCGACCGGGAATTGTAAATGAGCACACAAGGATCTAACACTGTGTACATGCACGGCACAGGGAAGTAAAACTTGTTTGGCTGTGTCTCGTAGCTGTCTTGAATTTTCCTCTTTGAAGTGGGGGGGGGGGGGGGCAGGAAAGGAAAACAGGGTATCTCAGGTGCAAAAGGAAGGAGTTTTAACCATGCTGTCACCGCCTGGTGACATCATGCCTGGTCACCGTACTGTAATGTTAGTAATTGTCAGCCACGAGTGAACAAGGAGCAGGGAGTGTTTAGTAGTGTAATTTGACTTGATTGATATGACCTAGTTGTACTTATGAGCAGAGCGTAATGTAAACAAGAGAGAACGATGTAAGAGGTTGAACGGAGAGGAATAAATTGTAGATAGTGTAGTTAGGAAGTGATAATAAAGGATATGAAGGAACATGATGTTGTTCAGTTTTACCTCGCGTAACAAGTAAGACAAAGTCAGTAACGTCGTCACAGTATCATTAGACCGCTCCCACCCCCAGGGAAACGGCAATGTGTTTTAATGCATTTAAAGTGTTGTCTTGGTCATTCTTGAAATTATATTTCACAGGTCAGCACCTTAACATATTTTCATCTCTCGACATTTCTATCATCTATGTGTCGTTTTGAATTTTAATGTTAGTTATACAAGCGACAAAATATGTACATTTTAATCACAGTGCATTTATTTTATGCTTATCACTGGCTTACTAATGACCAATTTCGCTTTTGATACAAAGCGTCATCCCCTTTCACATGGAATGTGTGTTGATAGTAAGTATCGTTTTGTTTGTGCACAAATCGATTCGATTTTATTTTTGGCTGGAAACTAAAATTATTTTTTCTAAAGCTATTCACAGTTCAAACTTTATTTGTTTAGTAATTTCATTTTTGCTATCAGCAGCGCACGTGAAATTGATATTGGTCATGGGATCGTGAGTTTTACTTCCACCTTTTTTCCCCCATATTTTCATAAAACAATACTTCTTACTTCCTTTTCCAATAATAGAATCCAACACAATATAAGAAAAAGGGTCTCTCGTTGAAATCGCAGTATCCGTCAAACTCTACAGCATTCAGCATGTTGTGCAAACTTGTAACTCTGTTAGTTTTCATCACGCTGTCATTGGCCTGGCGGCCGCATCATGATTCCAGCAATTGTTCAATTGAAAATGCCCCACTGCGCCAAGATGTCATTTACAACTGCTCGGGTAGGAAGCTTCACGGCGTTCCAGTCGACTTTCCAGACAATGTCACGGTGATCGATTTATCCTACAACCGAATCACCAGCATAACGCCGGGTAATTTCGCTCATCTGCGTAATCTCAGTCGCCTATACCTGTCGGACAATCGCATAGGAAAACTTGAGTTGGGTGCATTTGTAGATGTCCCTAATTTACGAGTGTTGAATCTACGATCTAATTACTTACGAATGGATTACGAGTCATTTCCACGAGGCGTTTTTAAAAATCTGTCCCAATTACAATGGTTAGATGTAAAAAACAACACCAACCGTTACCCAAAACCGAACGAAAACTACCCTGACGAGACCCTCAAAGACCTGACGGGTTTAACAGAACTATATCTGGACGGACTTAATATGGAGAATTCTATTCTTGGCCCAGGATTTGCTTCTCTTAAAAGATTGCGTTTATTGGATTTTTCTGGAGATAACGGACGCTGCAGTCTAAAGAAATTAAGTAAAAATGTATTTTACAATTTACGCAATCTTCAATTGGAGCATCTCGATCTAGCGTTTTGTGAACTGTATAAAATTGATAACTTAACTTTCAGTTTTCTACAAACAATCAAGACTCTTGATATTTCAGGTAACAAATATCTTGGATTAAATAGACTGGGAGGAGTTTTTTATGGATTACAAAATTCATCTTTAGAGCGGTTAATACTGAATGCAACAACGTCTCCAGAAGATAGAACGTACAAGCTGTACAGTAGTCGTGTTTTTCATTATCTCCAGAACATTACTACATTAAAACATTTAACTCTCGACACTAATTTCATATCGGATCTAGAAAATAACACCCACGTGTACTTGGAACATTTAGAACTTCTCTCCCTTTCCGATAACACGTTCCTTAACGCAATCAAGCCAGCGTTTGACTTAAGCCATTTGCAACACATTAGGTACCTCAACTGGAGCTGGACATTTAGATCTAAACCTGTGGTGCAGTTCGAACAGCAATTAATACATGGACAGTTCAAGTTCAACTGTTTTTCACCTCCAAATTTAGAGGTGGCTGACTTTAATGACAACAACGTGCGTTATCCACTCAACCACATCATTGTTCATAACGCTACGTCTCTCAGGTTTCTAAACTTATCAAACAATAATTTCTATGAATGGAATGGACCATGGGAAGTATTAGATAACTCGTTTCAGAAGATGAGTACTCTAGACCTCTCAGGTAACGGCTGTAGAAAAATCAGTGAGACATTCTTCTGTAATTTTTCGACAACTCAATGTTTACATCTGCACAATAATAAACTCAGATATTCTGAAACTATATCAAATGGCTCATATCCAAGTCCGTTTCGGTGGCTCGTCAATTTAACATACTTGGATTTGTCTTCCAACGAAATGGAAAAAGTTTCCCCAACTTTGTTCAACAATAATACCAAGCTACAGACAGTGATGTTGAGAAACAATTATCTGACTTCGGATGGATTAAATCTTGACTTGAAAAACATATCCTTCTTGGATCTCGCCTACAATAATCTGGACTCTCTGAATGACAAAATGATGTCTGTATTAGACGACGTCCAATCACGAGAAAATTTGGCAAATGTGGTCGTAAATTTGGCGGGAAATCCGTTGCAGTGCATATGTGAAACTGAACAATTTTACGTCTGGATGCAAAAAACAAAAATACAATTTGTCGGTCAAGATGACTATCAATGCACCCTAAAAAATGGAAGCAGCGTTAGTATAAAACAACTTTCTGCAATCGTTGGACACCTAAAAGTCACGTGCGCTTCTCAATTTACTTTGACACTCGTGTCTGTTGTTGTTTCACTCGTTATCGTTACTGTTGTCATGTTTGCGGTGTATTACAGATTCAGATGGGAAATTAAGTATTTCTTTTATAAATTACGAATAAGACGCAAAGAATACGAAGAAGTTCATGGAGATGATAACTATCAATATGACGCTTTCGTGGCATTTAGCAAGGAAGACTACAAGTGGGTGTACAGACAACTGCGACCTAAGCTAGAAGACGCAGAAGCCGAAGAAGACCGACTCCGTTTATGTCTTCATCATCGTGACTTCCTGCCAGGTGAAGACATCGAGGAAAACATTATCCAATCTATCTCACAAAGCAGAAAAACAGTTTTAGTTATAAGTCAGAATTTCGTGCGCAGCAACTGGTGCTATTTCGAAATGAAAATGGCGCGCATGCGATTGTTTGAAGAGGGAAAAGACGTCCTTGTTCTGATTTTGTTAGAGGACATTCCATTCCGTGAAATGAATGACACTTTGTTTCATTTGTTTAAGTCAAAAAGTTATTTAGAGTGGTCTGAACACGAAGGTGCTCATGACTTATTTTGGAGAAAGCTAAAAATGGTCCTGAAAAGAAAGAACGTTTAGTTGTTTATGATGAAACAGAACTTGTGAGTCATTTATTTAGCGGATTACCCATGTAAAACCTGCTTCAGTCTGTTTTGTTTTGAAATTTAAAGAAATTGCGTGCTGGCGTTCGCTGCACTGTTGTTGAATGTGCTGGATTCCATTAATTGTTAGGCATTTCTCAACTAACGCATTATAAATTGGACACCCACTTTCAACGCTTGTTTCAGATTTTCAAAACAACAGAAAGGGGGAAGGGGTTAAATCAAACATGAAAGATAAATCAACAACTAGAAAAATAAGTAAAGATGAAAATATTTAAAAGAATAATATGGATTTGATTGAATTAGTGTATATTAAAGCCCTATATAAGTAAAAAAAATTGGTTTTCTTCATAATCTTGATATGGCAGGGGGGAAAAGTTTCATCTTACTAGGAAACCTGGTGTAACAACAGAACTGTTGAGGGTTTTTTTTAAATCCGAGTTTTAAGATCTTTTATTTGACTAAGTTTCGTCAATACTGTCTGTGTGTGTACTGTGTGTGTGTGTGTGTGTGTGTGAGTAAAAGAGCAACTTCAGTGTTTCCCAATAGAAGGTACAAGATACATAACATTCATCAGTTGATCGCTGTCGAGGCAGTCACAATGAATGCGTTGCGTTCAGCTATCACTTAGGCTTCGTTCACATGCAATGTCTATTTTCTAAATTCTATTTTCTATTTGCGGCATGTCTTATGATCACGGTCTGTGCACTGAATATCCCGCCGCGTAATTACTGGCAGCGCGAGCCAGTTACTATAAGTTACTATAAGTTACTATAAGTTACTATAAGTAACTGGCTCGCGCTGCCAGTAATTACGCGGCGGGATATTCAGTGCACAGACCGTGATCATAAGATAGCGCGAATAGAAAATAGAATTTAGAAAATAGACATTGCATGTGAACGAAGCCTTAAAGACGCTTTGTAAAGCAACCTCCTGGAAATAACATACACTAAGCAGGCTAGCAATGCCATGAATAACAAGTAAGAGATATCAAAATCACCGATTGAAAAGGGTTGCTGAAATATTCGAAAGCACCAGAAAATATGAAAGCGAGGTTGATTTGATTCTAATACTTTCACCTGTTGGCTGCGTGTTATATTATTTGTGAGGGGACCGCTGGCCTCGTGTCGGCCTCTTGGGAACATTAATTAACGAGCCGACTGACGGAACAAGTTTTTTTAAGACACATGTATGGAGCTGTTGAAATCACACAGCAAGAGCAAACCGTCTCCGGAACTCGGACTTGAGGTAGAGATTTACATGTATCTGTAAAGATACGAAAGGAAAGAAACTTTAAATGTCTACCTCTGTACGAGCTAGGACATGCAGTCCCTGTACTTATACATGTAGTGCCCTTATTTAACCAACAGCATCTTACGGAAATACGTGTAAGCATTATACACGTCACCCAAGGGCTTAGTTCGAATAGTCTTTTTTGATGAAAAGAGGGTTTAGTAAAAATACTGAAAGGGATAACAAGTGTGCGTATGAGATTTGTATTTCACATATGAGATTCATAAATTGTAAACAACTGATAAAAATATAATAAATTCAATTTTACCACCTAAACGGCGGTTATCGCAATTATTTTGGAATCTGTCCTTGTCATCAGACCACGTGGACCTTATCTATACGTACATACACATAAAGATATATACACCTCCGTAAAAATCTCCAAAGAGTTTATTATAAAATCAATTTTTTAGAAAAAGACCATGGACTAACTTTGAATGCTTGCAAATTCATTAACCTGGTAAGTATGGTAAAATCGTCGTTTATCCCTGGAAAATTAGTTTTTTGGCCAAAACTAACGGCTGCTATCCCTTGAATAATCCATTTTTTACGTGTTATATTTTTTGTGAGGCGACCGCTGGCCTCGTGTGTGCCTCTTGGGAACATTAAGGAGCCGACTGACGGAACAAGTTAGTTTTTTTTTTAAGAAGCAGCGGCGATTATGGTCGTTGCGCTGGGAGTGAGAAGTCCGAACAGGATGACGTCTCGTTTCTACGAACAGTAAGGTTGAACTAGTTGAATATGGCACAACTCCCCCTACCCAGGTCGCCAAAGTAGTAGGTTTCAGAATGAAGACTACTGAGTATACCGCAGAAAATAGTTTCAGGCCAAGAGAGAGCCAGCCTAGGGCATATTTCTAGCTAAAATGTAATCAGTGGAACAGCGCCCCCGTTGAGTTAATATCATATATAAAAGTTATATCTGTCATCAATAAACTTCCTACAGTGTACATGTACATCACATCTTGGTGACATCTCTGTATAGAGTAGTAGGCCACTGATTGTTATCATCCACATCCAGCTGGAGAAAAAATTCTCAGCGCAATTACCCACCTCAAAGAGACACTTTTCAAAATAATCCACCTTTCTGGGCTTTGCCATGTGCCTGGGTCTCTCATGGGCCTATAACATTACTGTCACACCTGCTCCCTGGACCACCACAAACATCCACATTCCAGGCTCTGTCAGCAAGCAAACATTATCATATGATTGTATTAGGCTGTGTAGTAGTAGTAGTAGTTTATTATCATCACTGTATGCGTATGATTACATAATAAATATCTAGCGAGCAGAACATTACATACAGGGATAAATGATCAATAAAGGCATTACAAGTATAATATGTAGCGCAATACAATACCATGACAAAAACTTATAGTTCGGTACACCGTTTTTAAAAGCTACGTTTCTGATATTTTCAAGACCTTGTATACATATTAAACGACTAAGTGCAAATTGTTCTTTGAAAATAGATCCCCTAAGGACGTATATACCAGCTCAGGGTAGGCAGAACGCGTCACTGATGTGAGCTCGCATTTGCTTATAACATGTAGCTCTGTTTGCATTTCACCACACTTGCAGACACGTTCGTTCCTCTCTTTACGACACCAACGACCCGTTTCGATTGCCAATCTATGAGAACTTAGCCTAAACCTAGTAGTAGCTATGCGTAGATATTCCGGGATATCGAAGCGGTTTGCGTACATATCCCACACTTCCAGATTGGGGTTCATTTCTAAATAAGTCGTTGCTTTTGTTTGATTCGAATTTTTAAGTTGATCTTTTAGGTTTTCAATGTCCAAGTAAATATGATCGGATGTAGATGTAACCACCTTCCCTATAGCTGGTGGAAGCCACTGCATTTCACCACAGACAATACCATCTCATGAGACTTATTTCTTATCGCTCCTGGAAACCTCTCTAATTATCGCTCATTACGTACGGAGTACAGTATGCATTGCAATACAGGTGAATGTACCGTTGTATCTCTTCCGCAGCATAATAACTTATCGAAAAAGAGAATGGGGGAAATTTAAATATTTATAACGCGCACCTTGGCACCAGCGTGCACTAAATGATTCAGCCGTCTGATAAAGACAAGACGAAGCAGTAATTTGAATAATGACTCTCTACCACTGCTACAACTACTACTGTATACCGGATGTGTAATTGTTAGAGGATGTCCGCTGGGGCGTAATGACCGTAATACGTTAGGGGAGGGTGTTGATTTGTGCGCTGATTTTAGAGCGTGAGCGTCAGTGAAAGGTGAATGTATTTGCCGAACCTTTCTTAATCTTACGTCATTGACCGACCTTGTCAAGGACACAGTTACATGCACTATGCA